ACTTTTTATCAAGTTTATTGACAAGCTCGGTAGCTGGCATTAATAGAGACATGCTGATGATAACGCAAGACTTCGTTGTGTTTTTTTTTTCGCGATTGATACAGTTAAAGTTGCAACTTTCAACACCACGCAGATCTCACGGCAAAGTAGTTGCGAAATGATCTAAATTTAATATAATGTTGTTAAGCATGTAGTTGGTTTTAACGAGGCCTCGGGTAGTTGGCTCGTCATGAGGCACCATGTTTTTTAACGCGATTAATATGACTGTAAGTTGTACTTCGACCTCCATTTCCACCCAAGCATGTAACGAACAACGCTACCCTGTTGAAGATCAGAGGAAGACAAGTAGGCCGCGCAGGTTTATAATAATAATAATATAATAATATAGCGGCTTCAGTGTTTGTTAGGCCGTAGGCCTGTCGCCGATTCTTAATATCACAGAACATCCACAGCTTGGTACGGGCTTGAACTCTTAACTCGCTGCTACAATTCTGCTGTGCTTAACCGCCCGGCCTCCTCGCCGATCTGACCAGAAACTGGCGCAGAGAGCTGGGATCGAACCCGCACCTCTCTGCGCCAATCCTGATACTCTGAACTGTAACCACTGGGCCACCCTGCTGTTGACAGGAGAAGGGCAGTGCGTGGCACGAACAACATGTTCCCAGCGCTCAGAGAGTGACGCAGATGCAAGCAAGTTCAGAATCGCGTACCGCCGCGCACCAGCGTCGTAAAATCTGCCCAGCTCCAGCTGTAAGGTAGCAGCATATAATGAACGAGTCTCCCACGCTGGATGCGGTCACGTCTGGCTAGCGTGAGCGCGTTCGTTGTTTTTATGCATTTAAACAGCCGTTTAACCACGTGGAGCTGCTCGTGAAAGCTTCCTGCATGGTTTCACTTTAGATTGTAACAAATTCTGACTCGGGTCAACTCAACGACTTGGTATGTCAATAGCATGTAATTTTCCTATTTTTAGAGAGTTCACTTCACAATTTTATGCGAATTTTAGGCAAGAGCAGAATAACAATCGGGATATCGTTTATTATTGCTATTTTTTCCACAAGTTTTGAACAACCCAGTCAATTTCTGATCAGTTCCATATTTTAGACTAAAATTTGATTATAAATAAGTAACTGATTGTCAACATAGGCAACATGTGTTTGTAATTAAATTTTGCATGTTTATGCCACAGTAAGCATTTACACGAACCTCATTCCTGAAGGCTCGGTAATTATTCTTGAAATAATGAAACAAGTGCGATGAACCAGCATACAATCATTCGTCACCACAAAATATTTCGTATGCGCTTGTCTGCCAAACCGACCGCTCGATGAAAGTATATGTTAAGTTTAATTTCACTATAAGTTATTTCTCGAGATTTTTCTAATGTTTCGGGATGTTATATACGAGTTTTGGGCATGTGTATAGTCTTTTGTTATCCAACATTCCGAAGTGCCACGCCATGCCTTCATACTTAATACTTTTTTATTTTAGTCTCCGTAAATCAAGATCGCATCTCTTGTGCTGATGCCCACATTACTTATTCTGTATTGAAACTAGAGAAAATAAATTGTTGAACGTATTTTTATACGCATCGCAGCACATACGAAAATGATTACAATGTAAATGATGGATATTCACATTGTTGTTCTCAATTCTGTGCAGTTAGCGCTTTCGTTTGCAAATAGGGAAGCAAAACAATTTTTGAAAAGAACGAGCTCTATATTTAAATACATTTGAAAATCCTATCATATTATCCACCGCCATATGTAAGCAACTCTGCATAACATGTATCACAAAATTAACACCAAATTTACGGCTCACAGTTTTAATAATATTCTACACACGCCTATACTATGGAATAAATATTCCTCGAATCATTTCATTCCCCAACAAATGTGGTTTATCGATTTTAATAAAAAATAACTAACATGGGTAAGTTCGAAAACTGTTCAGAAAATTTAATCAAATTTTAAGCGTTATTGCGGGTTTATTTGCAACACTTACTCGTCCATTTCAAACGCTTCGATGGGTAACTCGTTTCCTGAAGTTTTTTTTCAAGAAGAGATACAAATTTATGCCTTTAAAGTACTCTTTGGTTCAAAATAAAACTTAACACAGACATTACAAGCTATAAAATCGATATAAATAATAACAGAAATGAGGTATGAAAATAGAGTGCGAACAACAACATTGTAATAAGACAAGTAAAGTAATCTGGGTGTTAAATCTATTATTGGGATTTACTTAGAAACTAAATAAAATAAATTAAAACGAATACTATAAACATGCATTGCAATGAAATAAACTAGTCCTAGCAAAGAGTCGACCTAAAGCAGTCGTTCAAATAATACGATTCATGATTCTCAGAATATGAGACACTTGAATCTGAAATGAACTGCGTTTTTCCAATGGAAAAATACGCGGACGATAACATCTAACATTAAAGTTCACTAAAATGGTTGGATCACTTATAACATTGGCAAAATGTAAGACTAATTAAAGAATAGAATAGAAGTGTCGGCGTTGAAGAAATAGGCCCATGGCCTGCTGCCGATTCTTGAACTTTTCGTGATTTGATTCACAAGGGATCCGGCCTTTGGAACCCGATCTTTATTCCACGAAGATCTTTATTCCACGAATGAAGGAAAAGATTCACGAAAAGTCTAGTGTGTCGCCAAAAATTATCCGAAAAACATTAAATGCAAACTTCAGGAACAAACTACGAATAAATTAACACATTTTTTCTTACTTAGAACACCACTCCAGTATCAGACCATGCGAACATTTAGAAACAGTTTCTGTTACAATAATGAGCTAGTTAGACACGTAGCCGAGATAGGGCCTAGTCACAATCTATACTATCACTTACTAGTGTCGAGCACAAAATTAGAAATTATTTCGTTAGTGTGCAGGTCTAAATATTTTAATTTTTATCTATATTGGGATCGAGTTAATTTGAAATCGTTAAACTTGAAGATGACTTAATAAAACAATCGGTTTTATAATGTACAGGTATAGGCTGATGTCTTGGATGCTTCTTACAGGCGCTCGACAAACCATTTAATTGTAGGATTTTCAACTCACATTCATATTTTCATGAAAAATCCATAAACATTATTTACAATAACCATTATTAGTTATAACCAAGCACGACAACATGGCCTGGCAACACACGTACGTCGTAGAATATGTGGGACTGTAAATACATCTTGTATATTTGCGCACACTCTGTACAGTTTCATACACAAGTTAAATGTACAATGTACATAAACATTTTATCTTGGTGTATTATGGAAACATTCTTATAAGAATTAAGTGAATATTTTGACAGTTAGAAGAGATAGCAAAAATTGTGACAATTATTGCACGGACTTGTCATCATCGCAAGTTATTAGAGTTTTAGTGAATATCAAAACTTCGAACTTATTGACGCATGAAGTTGTTATGAAGTTAGTCTTTACTATTGTCCACAATGCCATGAAAAATAATCTATATTTTAATAACTTTCTGCTTGCATTAGTTGTACAATCTAATTAATTGAACCTGATAATTATATAATATCGGCGGTTAATTAATATAACGAAAACAAAAATATTGGAATTGGTGCATAATTATGAATTCGATTAGTAAAAAAGTTATTCCTAGAAGCCGATTAATGAAAATTGATTTAAACGTAGGAATACAATTGGCACGAAATTCAGCAAGATATGAGGTAAAGCCAGAAATTTATTGGAGAAGAATCGATAGATAATATCATTATTTAATTGTACGCTGTATGAAACGCGAGTCGATAATCACGATCATATGTGAGCGTTTATCGAAAATCAGAGTTCTAATTCATAACCACTTTATTTCCAGGGTGGAAATTTTTCATTATATCAAGTAAATTTTGCAAGGGTTTAGGCTTTTGATTGAATCAATTGAATTTTTGGAATTAAGATTTCAATTATTGTTGTTTAATTATATTTAAGGGAGGTGGTTTTTGATCAAATTAATTTGGTTTTTAATTTAATTTAAATTCAGTTATGTCGGCACAATTCACGATTCTACCGGCATTTAGGCTATTTAAGAGGTTTTATCTTCGATTTTTACATGAATCTTTAGAACTATTTTTATTTACAGGAATATAGTTTATTTTCACAGTTGGTAATCGTAATTCCTCATCATTGGTTTACATTGACATAGCCTATTTCTAACATAGTCCGAAATTTATCGTGTATTTGTTGGCATTTACTACAAATAATGATGATATCGACACACTATTTATACAACTACGTACACAAGCACACCTACACATCGAATAACACACACTACGTTAATATGAAAAAATTCCTTAGTTTTTCTTTTACATGATGTATGAGCCTACGGATCATTTCATATTAATTTAGCATTAATACTCAGACAAATGAGTCAGAATATTTATAATTTGCTATTCAGTTTTTGCCCTATATGGGTTATTCTGACGCAGTTTGGCACGGTTAAAGAGCGTAGCAGAGATACGGCCGCTCTCTGCTTGCGCTGTGGGTGAGGGAGTGGGTGAGTATTTGGACAGCCTGACACATTTATTTCTCTCTCATGCACGTAGTACATCGAGAGCTAAGAGAACTCAGCCTTGGTCGCTTCAGGACATTTATTTAATCTCATACCATACCATTTTTCTAATTTATTAATTAAAAAATGATATCAACTGGGAAACAACTTGTGAGTTGTGGAAACAACAAAACTTTATGTTGTGCCCTACAAACTTTGTGATGTTGATATTCGCTATATGATGCAAACTCAAATGATATTAAAAGGTTCACTAACATTTTCGTTCAATACAACTCAAATCTGAAACCCGATCCTTAAAATCATCAGATATTTTCTCAATCTTCATATTTTTAGCGCATTTTCTCACTTATGGACAAAAAGGCGCTATTGTGCTCGTCATTTCCGTCCGTCCGTCTGTCTGTCCGTCTGTTCGTCCGTGACTTCACGGACGGACGAGAAAATGTGCTCTTTGTCACTCACTGCACTGAGTACTAGGTAATATTTTAAATTTAGTTTTGGGGTAAATGCGTCCATTTCTTGGGCTAGGCCTCCCAACCATAATAAACCTCATTCCATTTTATTAACTTCGGCGGCCTTAGCAAGGAGCTTGTGGGTGACGGTGGCTAGCTTGGGGGCTACGGGGGGCTGGTGCCCGTTGTGGAGCCCCGCGGGGGGCTGGTGCCCGTTGTGTAGCCCCACGGGGGGCTGGTGCCCGTTGTGTAGCCCCACGGGAGGCTGTAGCCCGTTAATAACACCAACGGGTGACATGCCTAACCCGTTAGAGTTAGCGCCATTACTGCTGGAGTTATTGTTACTGCTACTACTTGTAATGTTGTTATTGGTGTGGTTGTTTAGGTTGTTATTGGTGTGGTTGTTTAGGTTGTTGTTGGTGGTTGTGGTGGTGGTGGAGGCGAGGGTGGGTGAGCACACCTTATGGTGGGCGTCCCAGTCCTTGTGCTGACAGAAGGGACCGCAGTAGCGCGCCGTGTTGCAGCCGCTGCACGTCTCGTGCGCCTTGCGTCCGCAGTTCCAGCAAGCCTGCACTCATATATAATATAATTATTTTATTTATTAGTCAGTCATTCCACTATTATATCATTTATGGTAAGTCATGTCACGCTTATTTATTTAAGCCTGCACTCATATATACTGATATTATTGCAGTATTGCTGAGTTATTTCACTATTGTTTCGTTATTGCTGAGTCATTTCACTATTATTTCGTTATTGCTGAGTCATTTCACTTCCAAATTAATTTTAAATAGTCTATCAGAATTAGCACTTTTTGTGACACAACTTCAATTTCATATTTTAGGCATTTATACCCATTTGTTATTCTAAATTAATATAAAATCAACCCACAAGGTTATGAGTACAAAATACCTGGTGTTTAAACCATTTGTTATTCTAAATTAATATACAATGAACCCACGGGGTTATGAATACAAAATACCTGGTTATCTGAATTTGAACGACACAACTTCAACTTTATATTTTAAACATTTAAACCCATTTGTTATTCTAAATTAATATACAACGAACCCACTGGGTTATGAATACAAAATACCTAGTATTTATACCCATTTGTTATTCTAAATTAATATAAAACGAACCCACGGGGTTATAAATATACAATACCTGGTGGGGGTCAGTCAGTATTGCTGAGTCACGTCACGCTTATTTATTTAAGCCTTCAGTCAAATACCTATACTAATATTATTGCATTATCGCTGAGTCATGTCAAGGTTATTTAGTTAAGCCTGCAGTCAGATATGCTGCTATTATTGCATTATTGCTGAATTATTCCACTATTATTTCATTATTGGCGAGTTATATCACTTATAACATTGGCAAAATTCTAAGTGAAAATAAACTTTCCCTGTCCTCCGTGGCATTATTGCTGAGTCATTTCACTATTATTGCACTGATGGTGAGTTATTCCAAAATTATTTCATTATTTGTGAGCAATTTCAACATTACTGCGCATTCGTGATATATTCACGTGCAACTTTGATGGTGTATGGGCAGGAATCTTTCTTCAAGAATCAATAGAAGTTCCAAATTAAATTTAAACAGTCTATAAGAATTAAAACTTTCGTGACACAACTTTAACTATATATTATAAGCATTTAAACCCATTTCTTATTCTAAATTAATATAAAATGAACCCACGGGGTTATGAATACAAAAATACCTGGTGTTTATACCCATTTGTTATTCTAAATTAATATACAATAAACCCACGGGGTTATTAGTACCAAATACCTGGTGGGGGTCGGGGCGAGGGTCACCAGCGTCGCGGCGCGCGAGCTCGCGCACGAGGCCCTCGAGGCGCGCGCGCTCAGCCGTCACGAGCTCCTGCGCGCGCGTCTCCGCCGCCGCCGCCGCGCGCTGCACTTCCGCCACCGCCGCCCGCCGCACTTCACTCACCGCCTCCTCTGCGACATGCAACACGCAGGGTTGTCAGGGTAGAGTAATATAATAAATATAATAAATAGTGTATACATTTGCGTTTAAAATAGTGTCTGCAATTGCATTGGAATTAATAGGGTATACACTTGCTTTAAAATAAATAGCAAATGCACTTGGAGTACAAATAATAGTGTATGTAGCAGAAGTAAAAATAAATAGTGTATGCACTTGCAATAAAAATAAATAGCAGATGCACTTGGATTAAAATAATTTTCAATGCATAATGGCTTGTAAATAAATTTCTCAGCGCAAGAGATTGCCGTCCGCCTGACCGACTGACCTCGGCCACCCTGTCCTCCGTGGCCTACTGACCTGCCTTACGCTTGACCTCGGCCACCCTGTCCTCCGTGGCCTACTGACCTGCCTTGCGCTTGACCTCGGCCACCCTGTCCTCCGTGGCACGGATGGCCTGCGCCACGAGCTCGGCTGCGTGTCTGCGGACCTCTGCGTCGTAGTCCGCAGACCGGCCACACCGCGCGCCTGTGGCCCCGTGTGGGTAATGTGGCACAGTCAAGTGATGTGACACATGACACAGACATATGACTTGTGTCACAGACATATGATGTGACACATGACACAGACATGCAACATGTGGCACAGTCACATGATGTGACCCATGACACAGAAATGCGTCATGTGACACAGGCAAGTGATGTGCCACATGACACAGACATGTGACTTGAGTCACAGTCACATGAAGTGACACATGTCACTGAAATGTTGACTTTTAGTTTACTAATTGTTTGTACTTTTGTTCTAAGTTTTTCAACTGACGAAGAGGTTGGACTCCGAAATTTTTTCTCACATAAGTAACGATAAATTTTTCAGCTGATCTCTTTGCTTTTGAATTCTGGAGGACGTAAATTAAATAAAACTAGATAATTAAAAAAAAACCTAAATTTAAATTAAAATACTCATTGTTTCTATTAAATTATTCAATAAATGTTTCATGTTAATATCGTTAAAGAAGAGAATTTTCGNGGGTATGACGAGGGTATGAGAAGCGTATGACTAAGATGAGTGTAACACACGCGTTACTCACGCGTGACGCGTCAGTTACGCGTGATATGTACGTGCTTTACAAAAATTTTACAAGTCTGTTCAATGTTAGTTAATGTTCATCCACATGTGATTGTTGAAGATCAATGTTGTATGAATAATAAATTGTAAAACTTATTAAAGATCTTAAGCGTTTACAATAGTACTTAATGACAAAATTAACATGATTTAAGAAGATTGCTATCATTTTTTAAGTACGGCAAAAGAAAAGAAATGTCTCAACATGTGAAGTGAAAACTAAAAGTAGGTCAATTTGATGATTATTTTCTTGAATAACTTCAAGCCTGTTCTAATAAATATGATATAATTAAATAAAGGAGTATAATTTATATGAATAGTGCAGGTATTACCATATGTATGTTCTTCCATTCATCGTCATTGACGGCGTTGGTGGGGGCGGTGGAGGTGGTGGGGAGCTGTGTGGGGGTGAGGAGGGAGGGGGGGTCGGGGCTGCTGCCCCCCATCGCGGGGTACGGGGGGGAGAACAGCCCCCCTAGCCTCTTGGCGGGGGGAGGGGATATGCTGCTGCGGTCCCCGCTCTCGAAATACGAACTGCAACAAACATTATTAATATGTAAACAACATTCATGAATGTGGACGCAACATTCATTAAAACGTGTACAACATTCATTAAATTAAAGGTACACAACATTCATTAAAACTTATAAAACATTCATTAAATTAAATGTACACAACATTCATTAAAAGAAGCATAACATTCATTAAAAGGTGCACAACATTTATCAACAAGTACACAGCGTTTATTAGTAAATACAGAGATCTTGATCACACAAAACACAATGAATAATTGTATATCCTGGTAACTATGAATGTCTATTGAGCTAATAAAATTCAAACGATCTCTGCAAGATGAGAAAAGTTCTCGGAAAAATAACAAACGACGTCGCCCTTTGCCCTCACTACTGCAGGGTGAACTGTTAGCCTCTCACCATATACCATCTATCACATATCATATACCACATACCATATACCATATATCATATACCATATACCATCTATCACATACCAAATACCATATACCAGCTATCACATATCATCTATCATATATCATATACCAAATACCATATACCATCTATCACATACCAAATACCATATACCGTCTATCACATATCAAATACCATATACAAAATACCATATACCAAATACCATATACCATCTATCATATACCAAATACCATATACCATCTATCACATATCAAATATCATATACCATATATCACTCACCTGGAATATTGCTTGCGCTTAGAGGCGCCGCTGAGGGGCACCGAAGGGGGCGCTGAAGGGGGCGCTGTGGGGTCCTGCGAGAAGAAGTCCACTCCAGGCTCTGCAGGAGCTGCTGCTGCTGCTGCTGCAGCCTCCAGCAGTGCTGCCTCCTGCACTGCCACGTACTGCTGCACAGGCTGCACACCGAGTAAGCTATGTTATTTCAGTGCTGCACAAGCTACTCTTATAATAGCATCTTTTACCGCACTGAAAGCACCAAAGTAACGGAAGAAGTGAAATGGATAAATACAATATACGACAAGATCATACCAAATGTGCCCTTGAGAAGACCAATAGCTGAACCAACCGAGGTGCATGCCAGAGGTTAGCTTTGGCCAACTTTACGTTTTAGGTTCTATTTCTTTCCGAGGGTGATTATGCTGGAGGGCATAGCAACCTATGATGTCCATTGCTTCAAGCCAAAGCGCCATATGTCCACAGCCACCGCTTAATTAAGCATGATCGAGTTAAGCATAGTCATACTACAAAGATCAGTCACAGACTGCCTAAAGATAATATAGCGCCGTAGGTCTACAGCCAATACTTGAGCATGCTTACTCTTTAGCAGGCAGTTCTTTATCCGACTGTACCTACTCCGACCTTACCTCTTCTGGCCTAACCTCTTCTGGCCTAAACTCTTCTGGCCTAACCTCTTCTGGCCTAACCTCTTCTGGCCAAACCTCTTCTGGCCTAACCTCTTCAGGCCTAACCTCTTCTGGCCTAACCTCTTCAGGCCTAACCTCTTCTGGCCTAACCTCTTCTGGCCTAACCCTCTTCTGGCCTAACCTCTTCTGGCCTAACCTCTTCTGGCCTAACCTCTTCTGGCCTAACCTCTTCTGGCCTAACCTCTTCAGGCCTAACCTCTTCTGGCCTAACCTCTTCTGGCCTAACCTCTTCTGGCCTAACNATAATGATAATGTTAATAACAATGTTATTAATCATAAGGTAAGGTAGTAAGAATAATAGCAAAGTAATAAAAGTAACAGCACTTACATATGATGTGTACAAAAATATGTTGTCAGCCGCGGTCATCCCGTAATTGGGGCTGAACATATATGTATATATTATCTTCAATATGTAAGTTATTTCCAAGACCAGGGTTGAATTTTATAGAAAAATGTTCTTACTTTTTTCTATTTCAGAACGATAACAAATCTGTATCGTCAATAGAAGCGTGATTACACGAATTCCTCAATTCGTTTTTTTCCTTTTCGTTCTTCATTGAAACTATAGAAAACTGAAACCTCTATAACACCGTATAGCACTTTGGTAGGAATAGCACTGAGATAACAACTCCAGGCAGGAATAGCAGTGAGATAACAACTCCAGGCAGGAATAGCAGTGAGATAACAACTCCAGGCAGGAATAGCACTGATATAACACCTCCAGGTAGGAATAGCACCTCTATAACACCTCCAGGTAGGAATAGCACTGATATGACACCTCCAGGTAGGAATAGCACCACTATAACACCTCCAGGTAGGAATAGCACCTCTATAACACCTGCAGGTAGGAATAGCACCTCTATAACACCTGCAGGTAGGAATAGCACCTCTATAACACCTCCAGGTAGGAATAGCACCTCTATAACACCTCCAGGTAGGAATAGCACCTCTATAACACCTGCAGGTAGGAATAGCACCTCTATAACACCTCCAGGTAGGAATAGCACCTCTACAACACCTCCAGGTAGGAATAGCACCTCTATAACACCTCCAGGTAGGAATAGCAC